AGGATTTAGCTACCATTTCCGCCTCCTGGTCCTTCAAGGGCAGAGCCTCTGCGTACTTCGTAAGATGATCAAGAAAGACAAGAACGTATTTGTTCCCCCTAATCCCACTATGTCGAGGAGTAGGAAGGTTCTCTCGAAGGGCTCCCTGACTTCATTGAAACGCTATAGGCGCTCGCTTCCTTTGTCCCGTCTTTCGCAGCTGACATGACTCGCAGGAATCGCAGTGCCTTTTGACGTCCCTCCGCATCCCCTCCCAAGTGTACTTTGCACTAATTTTCGCCAACGTCTTTCTGACTCCAGGGTGTCCCGAGAATGGGGCATCGTGATAGGCCCGCAGCACCGCGCCAATCAAATTTCGGGGGATCACAACCCTTTCCTGTGCCCTACCTTCATTGTTCCTAGTTCCTAATTTTCGTTTACAAAGAACACCTACGCTGTTTTTAAGCTCGTTCGTCGGCGGTGTCGTCTGCCACCCTGTTCAAAATTTCCGCGTGTTCAGGACTGTTTTCCTGCCCTTTTTTTTAATACGAGCGCATTTGATGACCGGCACAAAACTCTCAATGACGCCTAGCGTCGTAAAGCCTCCCTCGCTTGACTGAGGGCGTCCACATTGGTGTTTCCCTTTCCTGACTTGTGTTCGATCTGAAAGTCTTTTTCCTGCAACTGCAGGTTCCACCGAGCCAGGCGAGAGCCGGGATGTCTCACATTCATTAGCCACCGCAGAGGCCTGCAATCAGTTACTATTTGGAAGCGGCGGCCGTATAAATAGCACGGAAAATGGCGCACAGCCCAAACCAGTGCCGAACACTCCCGCTCTGTAGCACTGTGGTTTTCCTCGGCTCGGTTCAGGTATCGCCTGGCGTAGGCCACGGGTCGTTCAACTCCATTCTTTCTCTGTGAGCGTACAGCCCCAAGTGCGTACTGCGAGGCATCCGTCGCCAAAACAAAGGGAATCTCGAAGTCTGGATAACAAAGGACCGTTGCTCGAGGAGTTTGTCTCTTGGTTCCCAAAAAGCCTCCTGCTGATCATCATCCCACTGAAATGTAGACGACTTGGATGCAGACATGTACAAGTTACTCCAAAAAAGTAATTATGTTAGGTTACTGAGTATTGGCTTCCAAAGTAATTTGAATAGAGTAGACATTACTCAAATAGAAGGTAACTTAGTAAATTACTACCTACCGGAAAAAGTAGAAAATTACTTAGTTTTATCATTTTTATCGTAATACGAAAGTATATAGGTTTTAATCTGTTAGCGAAATTCTGATAGCCAAATATAAAGCAGCTTATTGTGTTTCTACAGATATGCTTTAATAGCTGCTCTTACTTCTGTGTGCCTAATTGTTTTGCACTTTTTTGTGTCTTTTCGTCAACTATGTACTGCGGATGTACCATTTCTTCGTTGAAGTTTAGCACTGCTTTAGCTTGATTTTGCAGACAATGTTTGTTTGTTTACAGGGTTGCGTAAAGTACATCTAACAAATACTTGAAGTAACGTACAAAGTAAATGAGAGGTTATGTACTTGAAGTAAAGTCGTCAGTACACCTGGTGCAATGTACTTGAAGTAAAGTGCTATAAATAAAATGTACTTTCAATGTAAAGTACAGTACATTTTAACACTATCTTTCATGATGCCCTTTCATTCCCTGTATAGCTTTTTTTCTATAACTGGTATGCATCGCTCCAGAAGTAATCGGAGGTGCATTTGTTTTTGTTTTTTTTTCGGAAATGGCGGAAAATACTGGATGAATTCAAGTCGCCACAGAGTAGTTGTTTTACTCTCGCTGACGAACTATTTAACACAATCAACTTATAAGACACTTATTTCTATCGGTCTTAAAGCCGCCATTATTTACTCAGCGAAATGACCAGATGACGTCTCGAAAGACAATAGCGCGTTTTCACTCGATGGTACGCCATTTTTTGTTTTCAAATTTGGGGACTGTACTTTTTTAGTCGGGAGTTGAACTGTGTTCGGAAAGTGCCAGAAAAATACTTTAATAAAGTACAAGTGCATACTCAGAGAATGTACTTCAAGTAAAGTACAAGTTTTCTAAACCTATTTGAAGAAGTTCTTTAAGAACCATGTACTTATAGTACTTTCCCATCTTTTGTTGTTGTTTTGTGTAAAAACGGCGGGGGTATTACTAAGATTTCTGGAACGATCTTCGAATCTTGGAGGACCTGCATATTTTGAGTTTTGGGAAGAAAGGCAACGCGCTTTGCTTAAGAACAACCTTTACGTTGCCCTTTACCACGTGATTCTTCAAGTACAGCAGAAACTACGGGATCTCCTGGTGAGCTTCAGAGCGGGTGCTGCATTTTGCTGCCTCGTCTGAGTTATGATGCATCTGTACACTTCCTGTTGTGGGCGAAAGTTCCTACGATGGAGAGAAGCGGGGACAAGCCCTTTCTTCAAGTGCGTCAAGTCCCCTTCAGCTTCGGAACTCAAAGAGACGCCAGCCTTCGGCGTTTATCCCGCAGTTACTCGGTCTCACTTGCGACATGTCTGTCCGCTCCCGGCGCCTCGTTGAAGGGTTGTTTTCTGGGGGGAGGGGGGGGGGGGGAAGGGGGTCGTGAAACTTTTAGGTGGTTTCGGACCCCCCAAAGAAATCCTCCCCCCCCCCCTGCAAATATCAGCTGATCTTCCAATAACCCATATGTTTTTTGCAGGAATGTTTGTTGATAACCAAACCTGCCATTAAAATTGGAAAGCAATTTGTAATTTGAGTAGATGTTACTCGGGAAAATTAATTAAAGAAAACTACTGGTTGCCGAAACAAAAATGCAGTAGAAAGTTACTGAACTACTAAAAAAGTAGTGAAACTACAGTAACTTGAGTAGGGTAGTTGAACTAGGTACAAGTCTGCTTGGATGTGCATGAGCACAGTCAGAGGCTTGGCGATCTTGGAAAAGTTATCGGTAAACCTCCGATAATAGCCAACAAGTCCCAAAAATTCTCTCACGTCCCACAGTATGGTCGGCATCGGGAAATTTCGTACGGCTTCCTCTTTCTCTGGGTCCGGCCGAACACCGTCCGCGGATACGATGTGCCCGAGATATTTAACCTCCTGCCACAGAAACGGGTGCTTCGAGGGCCTCAGCTTCAGCCCAGCCGTCTGAAACCGTCGCAGGACCCACTCGATGTCACGCAGGTGCGAGTTAAAATTGCGATTGTACATAGAAAATACCGTTCATGTTGAACTGTTCACAAGACCCATTGGCATCCGGTTCCACTCGTAATGGCCTGATGGAGTGTTAAATGCCGTCTTAGCATTGTCTGTGGAATCCAAGTCAATCTGCCAAAAGCCAGAGGCCAAGCCCACCACACTAAAGTACCTAACACTGCCAAGCTGAGCCAGGGTCTTCTAAATGTCAGGAATTGGGCATGGATCAACCCGCGTGACATTATTCACTTTCCTATAATCCACCACGAGCCGAAACAATCCATCTGACTTTTCAACAACAGGGCCGGAGCCCCCCAAGGCGACTTCGACGGCTCCATTATGCCCTTCTCCACTAGCTCCTTCACCTGATTATTTATCTCGTGCCGCTGGGAGTATGGTATCCTGTATGCACGCTGGAACACGGGTGTCGAATCTGAGGTATCAAGGCGGTGTTTATTCGTGTCACAGCGACCTAGGTCCAGTGTATACTGATGCAAACGCCGGGAGGTGCTGGCGAATCACGCCGATGATGCGAGCTCTCTCCTCCACAGCTACCCCCGCGAGGTTGAGCTTAATCTCCAACTCTTCACCTGCCGGCTCTGACGGGTGACTCTCAGCACCTACACTCATGACCTGGTCGGACTCACTGACACAGGCTCCATAAAAATAAACTACTGTTTTGTTTTTGGGTACTATGAGCTCTTCTCGACTTAGGTTCAGCAGTGTTATTGGTACTCTCGACCTGTCATCTGACTCAAGCACTCCCAGCTCCTATTCAGGAATCTTCTCAGCCGTTCTCGCTCAGTTCACAATATAAATCTATTGACCCGCCACTGTTAGTGCCCTCCGAGTCACCAAAACATATATTCCCTGCCCGGACAGAACGTCCTGTCCCAAGATTCCACCAAGAGCAAGTGCTGAGTCGTCAGAGATCACAAAACACGGATGCTCAAAGCGGCAGTTTCCCAAGCTCATCTTCAGCCAGAAACAACCCCTTACAATAATCTCATCTCCGGAGATGCCATGAAACATTCTGTTCTTTTGTTCCGCGTACGGCCTCAGCCTTTTGTCTTTCATTCTTCCCAACGCCACCTCTTTTAGCAACATAACCCGTGATCCCGTGTCAACCGACATTCTAAAAATGCAGTTAGTCGCTTCACACTCAACGACGGGGCTCGACTCCTCTGAACACTCTACAACAATTATCTCAGACGAATCCGTGTCGCATCTCCGTTTATTCTTCTTCCTAGGAGGGTTACCATCCGTATCTTTCTGTACACTTTTCTCTGCGACCGAGCCCGCGCAGGCCTCTTTCTCTTTTCGGTCTTCCTCCTTCCTCTTTACCAAAGGGGCGGTAGGAGCTTACAAGTTTTTTTGAACCGTGTCTCGCCTACCCTCACCGGACTGAGGTGCCATCCGTCTACTTCACTCTCGAGCGATATGACCAGCCTCGCCACACGAGTAGCACGTAGGAGCGCGGCGTCCTTGATTTCTAGGGTCCCAGCGACCCCGTTTCTCTCTTTGCAGAAACAGTGTTTCGAGTCGAACTAGTCCCTCCCTCAACTCGTCAACATCGCTGGGCTGTCCCACCATGCACACCGTCTGAATCTTGCAAGTCAAGCTATCGTTACCCTCTACCTGCGTAGCCACCTCGACTGCCTGCTCAAGAGCTCTAGCCGACGAGACAACACGAAACAAAAAAGTGGGTATTTTTACCCCTGCACAAACAGCGAGCAAAGCTGCTCCCTCACCAGCTCCCAGGCAATTTTTCCTCGATCGTCCGTCTTAGGAACTGCCACCCCGCAACGATCAGCCCAAAACGTGTACGTACCCAACGACTGAAGACGCATGGCGTACGTCTGAACGTCCTCGTCGTTTTTTTGATGTGCAGCCAGAAAACGCCGCAACCTTACACGTGGCATGTCAAAGCGGTTCAAGAGCGCGGCCTAAGGTCAGTGAACGTCTTGGAGTCTTTCGCGTGTTCGTCGCGCCATACGAAATCGTGAGCTACTCCCGCTACCCTACACCTGTGACTCCAAGCTTGTGCACCTCTTTTCATGACCCCACTAAAGCCACCTGTGCTCCACCATATCTACAATATCATCTACGGTTACATTTTTGCCGTCACCAGTAAAAACCGGCACCATACTGTTTAAAGCCATAATACTAGGGCCCAAAACTGCTCCAGCCTGGTACATCGTCATGCTCGCCAAAATTAGTGGCCTCCACTCTCACTCTCCGCCCGGAAGGGGGTGCCCTCTGAAGTTCTTAGGATCCCGTCCGATAACCCAAAAGCTGAGGTACCCCACTGCCGCCACCAATGTGACGGTTGGTAACCCCAACACTGGTCCCGGGGTTCTTTTTTGGGCGAGAGTGAGTGAGGAGACCGGCGAACAGATACAACAAGTTTAATACTAAAAATTGAAGGGAGGGTCGGTGACTTTGGGGCTCACTGCTTCGTTGACAACTTGCTCGTCCAGGCGTTCGGGACATCGCCCGGGGCAGGCAGACTGGGGCTCCCGTGTAGAGTCCGGGCTGGTTGTCGATGGAGTCGTGGCTCTTGCGTCAGATTGGGTAACACCAATGTCGATCGGGTGTCGTTGGTGCTGCATGTTGCTGCTGCATCGACTCCGGGGAGACGGCGACCCCGTTTCGTTGCAGTTGCGTGGAAGGCGTTCGTCATGAAGTCTCCGCCCCAGGACTCAGCATCGCATTCCTTCCATGTTTCCTTTCGGCTGGCCGCTGACGACGCGTCAAGTCTCGATCGACGCGCTCGTCCAACTGGTTTGGTTTCCCCCCGACGGCCGTCGAGTGCGTCCCCCTCTCCCTCCATCGATTCTCCCATTGTTCCCGATGAGCACGGAATGCGGGAAAACCGGGATGGTCCTTCCAAGGTTTCAGGCGCTCTATTTCCTGTTCTGCCCTCCCCGGCGCCGCGAGACACAGTCCATCTCAGAACCCGCCATTGTCACACAAGTTAAAAACCCCAGGTTAGCAATCGTACTGCACTGGCCAAATTTCTCATCTTCAGCGAAGAGACAAGTCACCCGTTGAGGCGTGCTAGCATCTACGCTGCATCAACCTACAGGCAACACATTTTTTTTATTTCTGCTTCGTCCGTTGTACGGAAACTAAGTCCTAAGTCTCCGTTGTACGGAGACTTAGGTGGCTCTTCTCAGAGACCTGCTGGCCGACGCCTTGAACGGCATCTCTTTCCTGACAGACCAGATGAAGGCTGTGAGGGAGGAGAATGCTCGTCTTCGCAGCGAGCTGACGAGGAGTTCCGAGATTCAGTCGGTTATGTTGTGCAACATCCAGGCGGAGCTACGGGACCTCCGGCATCGCCCGAGGTACGCGGGCGACCTTCGCCTCCCCACTCTGCGGTGGCGGGCCGCCATGATCCGAGTGCTTCCGCACGGGGAGGAGGAGGAGGAGTCGCCTCGCGCCATTCCCCAAAGGGAAAACGACGGTCTCTGGAGAAACCTGTTGCCTTCAGCGAGGCGTTCGCCCTGACTCCATCTCCTCCTCTCCTCCCCCCCACCCCCGAGCATCTCTGTGACCAGATCCGGTTAACCTTGAGCGGCAGAGCCTTCCGCGAGACGACACTGGAGTCCTTGCGGTCATTCCCCCCGTTGCCGCTTCAGCAAAGCAGGCAGGGGGGGGGGGGGGGGGGGGGGGGTCCGGTGGCTCAGCGGCTCACGACAAATCGAGACGAGGGAAGAGGTAAGGGAGAGACCGGTCCACTGACCCGCAGCAACTCGGCGGCTCCGCCTGGCTTGACGAAATACAGTGCGAGAAGACTCCCTGGACTTCGTTCCCCAAGCTCGATTCCCCAGCGGCCATCCTGGGAATACCGCCGCATCGGTGTCTGTGCGACATTCCAGTGTGGTTTTCGTGACACGTTTAAACGCCAGCTGTTCTTCGGCGGATGTCAGAGAACATCTCGGGCTATTCTTTGGCCTAAGGGAGTTTCGTTGCACAAAGCTGAAGGCATGCTATGGTGGGTACTCTTCATTCCACGTCGCTACTGTGGATCACGACAGTGAGGCATAGCTCGATTCGAACATCTGGCCGGAGGGCTGCCTTTTCAGAGAATTGCAGGGTCGGCTGACGCAAAGCCGCGTGTATGATGAGTGTGAACGTATGACCGACACGCGGCGCGGCTCTGTTTACCAACACGGCCGGAAGGCCTTGCATGCGCAGAAGCTGTGGGCAAAAGAGGCCAGACTCTCCGTGTTTTCGCCATTGCGTTGTGTGGCGTGCGCTCGTTCTTGACGTTGCAGAGACGCTTCTAGTTTTATTTGTGCGTCGTATTTTTTGTCAACGTATGTCGTATGTTATACCCGACTATTTGAGCTCGCTGCCCGAGCCTGAACGGCAGCGGTATTGAGACGAACTGTGCGTGTACGGCGTTGCCTTAGACAATGTGTACGCCGTAAACAAGGACTGCTGGAGTTCCGATATGAGGTTGACGCCACCGACGTCGATGGCTCACCTCGTCGTTTATTTAGTTTTTTTTCGCCAAGCCAGTTCACGGCCGACACGTTGCAGGTGTACAGGTCGCTCAAGGCCTTCCTCGCTGTCGGCGAGATCAGCACAGTGGATCAGCAGACCTTGGGTCTGCGGAAGTGTATTTTTTAATTGATTAAATACATACAGCGTCCTTCGAGTCAAGGTATGATATTGTCACGAGGGGCAAGTGATGAGGCGGCGAATAACGGAGTAAATTGAACGTTGAATCGGGCGAACTTGTGCCCAAAAAGTAAAATGAGAAAGAAAGATAACAACAGAGCGTCGCCGGCATCGAAGGCGGCGAGGCAGCAAGATCGAGCGCTGAGGCAAAAACTGACTCGACAAGGTCGCGGGCGGCCTCTTATCTAAGTTGAGTCACTATCTCGAAGATTCGGCGGAGAAGGTTCGAGCGTAGCGCGCTCGGGGCGAGGATGAACACGGACTTTCTGGAACAACAAAAGCAGTGATAAACGATAGAAGTTACGTCTGGAACAAGAATAAACGAGAACTTTCTAGAGGTTCGTGATCGAGCGTTGCTTTCTCAGCCCTGCGCGCAGCAATATTTTTCTTACCCTCACGATCACAAGGCACGACAAGCGGTAACGCTTTTTCCGTTCTTTCGCCCGCCGGTCTCCTTCCGCTTGATAGCACGTGCGTAGCGAGCAGTGTTGTAGCCGTTACCAAAAAAAAAAAAAAAAATTACGAAATCCGTTACTCTTTATTTGGAAATAAAAGATATGTGTCACCGGCCTACGTTACCTCAAAATAAAAGGAAAGCGTTACCGTTAAGAAGTAACGCACGTTACGTCTGCATTACTTTTTATGTATAAATTGACGGTAACCGTGCTGTTGTTCCTTGGTGACAGCGTTTTTCTTCACTGGGACAAAGGGCGTCGGCGTTGGGGTTTTTCCGAAGTGGGACATTTTGCATGCAAGCAAAATTATGAAGGTAGGTGGAATGTAGTGCTATAAGTAATTACTTGGCGCCTATACTTCGTTTCATCTTAAATCCAGACGCAGCCAAAGCTACGAGCTACCGGTACCAGTCAAGCAGTGTCAAAAGAGCGTTTCACCGGGACCTTTTTGTTTGTGATTGGTTCCGCGATGGTAGAACACGTATAGAAACATGACGGACACCATGATGGTGCGCTTTTGACGCCATCGATTGGTTCCATCAGCTCGTAGCGTCGGCTGCGTGTGGGCTGAAGGTAAGACAAAGTATGAAAGAACAAAAAAAAAAAACTTTTTTTCAGGTCTTGGGAAGAATATGTAACGAGTAACGAAACTACTAGTACACGTTATTCTAAATAAGTAGCGTAAGTACGTTCCCCGTTACTGTCTTGAAAGAGTAACGAGTACATTATTACGTTACAGAACAAAGTAACGTGTTACCGGCAACGCCGTTACTTGTAACGCGTTGCCGCCAACGCTGTTAGCGAGCCACCGACAAGAGCTTGGCCGGTGCTTTATGCGCAAACACCGTAGAAATAAACTCTTGGTGGTCTCCATCAGGCGACGGTTTCCCTGCACATAACCAAGCGTCGGGACGGAGATTGAAATGGAAGCCACACTTGCCTTCAAGAAAGTGCTTCTCGCACGAACGCTCGACCGCGCGAGGCGACCATTATTTTCGATCCACGGATATTATCCACCTTCTGCGCGTTCCAGAGTCAGCCGGGAACTTGTGGAAACTCACTCAGATACTTTTGCTGTACCTTTCGGTGCAATTAACGGCTACACAGCTTCGCGGCATGCTGAAATGCTATGGCACCCATGCAAAACGTGCCCACACGATCGGCGCGATCGCAGCGCCGCCACAGCTCCGTGACGTCAAGCCCACGTGTCGGTCTATAAAGTGATCCCCCAACCAATACGAATGTGAGTTGGTAAAATCATCTGCAAATAACTAGCCCGCACATTTCCTATCAGAACGTTCGCGGCCTTCGTACTAAGGGCTGTGACGTCTTTTGTAATGTTATATGTACAGATTTTTCTATATTTCGTATCACGGAAGCGTGGTTAACAACACGCTCGTCCTTTTCCACCCAGAAATACTGTCTGGGGAGTATTTTTCTTCGGATTTTCTTGTGCATCGCAGTGATCGTGATTTATCTCGCAGAAAGAAAATGGGAGGCGGTGTTTGGATTGGACTCCGTAGGTCTTTGAAGTGCGGTAGACGCGCCGATCTTGAGACTTATTTGGAAGCTGTGTGGATAGAGCTGTAGTGTGATAATAGAGAACGGGTTTTGATAGGTACTTCTTATTTTCCTCCGTACATTCAACCTGATGAGTTTAGTGAGTCGGTCTCCTTAGAGTTGAGGATATAGATGACTAGCTG